TGGGGGTGACATCAGTGCCTGGATCATAGGATTATGATGATGGTTGAACGAATTAATATTTTCAAAGTGTTTAGCACAGTGTCTACATGTAAGGTGCAATATGCACTTGTCCAACCAAACACTGGAACAGGAGGGGGACGGGGCCCATCAGAGAGCAGTGGTCTGGGCATCAGGGACCTGGTCCTGGTCCAGTTCTACTTGGACACGTGACCAAGAGCAAGTTCCTTTCCTCCGGGCTCAGCTCCTGCTCTGTAAGCTGGGGGGTGGGACACCTGCTGGTCTCCGTGCCCCTGCCCCACCTGGCGCCTTGGTCTGCATACCTTTGGCCTCTCCCTGTGCTGTGATTTCAGAACATGGGCCAAGGGCGGGGGAAACTCAAGCTGGAATGTTTGTGCTCTCAGAAAGAAGGGCGGCCCACTAGATCTTTTCAAAAGGCACATACTGACTTGGAAATCAGGTAACAGAGACAGGCCAGTGAAGGGGCCAATTGTGGGTAGGACAAAAGCCCAGCGGTCCCCTTATCTCTTCCAGTTTCTCCAATTGCTCTTTTCTTTTCTTTGAACTTAAAGAGAAAGGGGTCTTGGAAGATGTCCATTTTGAAGCCACAACGGTATAAGAAGCACAAATCTCAGATTGCTCAATCCTATTCCAAGTCCCAACACACATTTACCTTGTTCCTGACAGGGTAGGAAGCAATGCCCTTGGAGCCTGTTTGAAATCTGAGTCTCCCCACAGCTCTCTGAGTCCCAGGTTCCAAACCTCCAGGGGGCATAAACAGACTTCCTGTTAATCTCTGGGGAGGAGGGCTGGGGACTGGCTATGTGAGAGGTACAGAGGCACCAGGACTTGGAATGGGGCATGCTGGGAGCTGTCTGCCAGTTTAGAAGTAAAACTGAGCTCCTCCCAGCCCCTCTCTACCCCCCCATGGGCTCATGCTCTTCCATCTGCCCTACTCCACTCCCACGTCTGCTGCTTGGCTCTGACCCTTGTCATCATCACCTGCACAATTCACAGCCACAGACCAATCTAACCTCATCTCCATCCAGTGGCTCAACAGTCCAGAGGGCCTGAGGCAACAAGCCTTGTGCCCCTGTCTCCACACTGCTCTCTGGGAACAGCAATAATTCTGCAATATGGCAGAAGGGTCATGGAGAGAGGCAGGGGCCTTCTTAATCTTCAGAAAAGAACACTCCCATCACCAGCCAGGCAGATGAGGGTGGGTCCCTTGAAGGGTGAGCCTCTTCCACATTTCACCCATCTCCCTGGCACCTTCTCCAATCCACTGATCCCTAGGGTTAACTCTCAAAACCAACGCCCTCCCCTCCTCAGGCACTGCCCCTCAACGGTTCCCTAGGCCTACTGAAAAAGTCTAAGCTCTTCAGCTGTCTATGCAACCCCCTGTTGGGATCATGGAACCCTCCAGAGAGACCACACTTAGATTCCTGCCACAATTTTCTTTACTTCTTGACTTAGAAATCCAGGGCACAGCTACAAGATCACCTGCTCTGTGAAGCCTCCCACTGGTAAGACTTAGTCACCTCCCAAATTCCCTGCTGCTCTTGTTGAGGACCTAGTATATTATGCAGCTTCCCACTGACTGAGCTGAGCTCCTGAAGGGAGAATCCCTGCCAGCGTCCCCTGTTGGTGACCAGCACAGGGGTGTCAGGTGGGCAACTGAGTGTGTTTATTGAGTAGATTAGAATTAGCCATAGCACACTTTTGTCTTCATTTTTTAAAGCTGCTTGTTCTCATAAATCTATGCAATCTAGGATAGAATTAGAACAGACACACTTCACAGCAAAAAAAAGCTGGAAGCTTGATGGTTTCTTACCTACATTCTTGTTTTTACAGAAATCCAGGCTAAGGGGAAGACACGGTACAGAGGAAACAGGATTAGGCCCAAGACTCTCCTTGCAACGCTGCTTTCAAGTCAACTTGAGCAGCCGTAGGGGAACTGTCCCCTCCCGGCTGGAGGGAAGGTGTGAACAGAGAGAGGAGGGCACACTGCTAGAGCAATTTCTCATTATCTGGGATATAGGACCTAGGAGCCCTCGATAAAGACTCTGGATTTTCTAGAAACAAGCCATTTAATCATATCTGGAAATAAGACCAGGTTACAAACTTATGGGAGTTTAGCCCGGAAAGGGACCAACCAACTCCATCATTTCATGGACACTGAGGTCTGGGGAAAGATGGCAACTGGCCCCAGGTCACATGCAGAGGAAGAGACGGGGCCAGGCTAGAACTGGACATCTAACTTCTAGTCTTGCACTTTTCCTGCTAAGCTGCACTCCCTTGACATTAGCTGTTGTTACTCGAGGGTTAGTGAAATGGCGCGGCAGTGTGCTTTTCTTTATGATCACTGTTAAACTAGAGAGGAATGCTGAGAGGTTTTAAGGGAGGGCATAAAAAATTCCTTTTCTAATTAAAACATTTTCTAATTAAAACATTTTCCCCATGGAAAATTCACTTAATTCAGTAACATTTATTACCTGCCTTCTCTGTACTTGGCACTGGCGTGGGTACCTGGGATCGGGATATAGATGAAGGTCCTTATCTAGTGGACCACAGAGGAGGAATCCCTCCTGCACCCTGCCCACAGCTCAGTGGAGATATGACCAGGGAGCCCCCTGGCTCTTGTGATTCAGGCTGCACAAATTCTGAGCATCAAACACACTTCTTAAATGTGTCAACTATGACATATAAAAATGTCAAACAAGTAAAAGGAATTCTAGTCCTTATTTTCTCTCAGTTAATTCATTCCATGACACATATTCCCCACCATCCTGAAGCAGCTTGCTTGATAGAGTGGTGAAATAGGCTTTTGCAGACTCAGTTACAGTGCCTGCAGGGTAGCAGGTCCTTGCAGGGCTGGGGCAGGGATTTTCAGAAAGCTGAGTATGCTTTGAATCAGTGTCTGATATGGTGCACCACTTCTCACATGGCCGCATTCCCAGGTCCAGGAATCATTACTACCCCTGCTGACCCACTGCCAAAATTGCTGCTCCCTGTTTCTGTGACCTTATGCTCTGCTGGCTAGAGGTCTTAGCTGCAAATGGAGAATGCTTCTGCCAGGAGACACAGCAATGATTTCACCAGACTGGAAGTTACGACTGACACCTTCCCACTTTCAACTCCTATTGCCTCTGAGTCAATAGGCAGAGAAGGAGTTTCTGTACTGGCCAGGGGGATTGATCTTGATTACCAAGGGGAAGTTAGACTTCAGTTCACAAAGAGGGAAGAAAATATAGGTCTGCAATAAAGGAGATTCCTTAGCATAGCCATGTCCTGTGATGAAGGCCAATGGACAACCACAATGACCCAATCGGGTGGGACTACGGATGGCCCAGGCCCTTCAGGAATGAAGGGTGAGTTGTCCCACCAGTCAAGGAACCATAACCTGAACTGGTTGCAAAGGCAGAGGGAATACAGGATGGGTAGTGAAGAAAGAAGTTATATATATAGTAACTCCTCACTTAACATGGTTGATAAGTTCTGGGAAACTGACTTTAACCAATACAACTGCATAATGAACAAAAGCAGGTCCTTGAATAACATTTTTCTTCAGTGCCTGATGAGATTTTTCCTTTCTCATCAACATTGTAATGAAGTGATGTTGAAGGAAACGATAATATTCGAGGATGTTCTGTACCCATTCAGACCATGTCGCCAATCAGAGAAACAAGGGCTATACCTGCCCTGAGTATTTCTCCCTGTTTAAAAATATCAAACAAATATGCTTGTGTGTATGTTCTAAGCAAATACCTTTGTTTTTTTCTCTTTTATTCTGTCAATCTCTTATTCTTTTTTATTATACAGGATGTATTGATTTTATAACACAGTATGTAAGTATTGTTAATCTTTTATCATAGTACTTAAGTTATGGGAGAGTAAAGAGAAAACAGAATTATGACTTTGCCATATGAAGATAAGTGTAGTTTAAGGAGAAGGGTGTGGATGCCAAGTGACAAGGAGTTGTGGTGGTTAATATTATATGTCAATTTGACAGGACCATAGAGCGTCTAATACTTGGTTAAACATTATTCTGAATGTGACTGTGACAGCATTTCTGGATTAGATTAACATTTGAATTTGTAGATTTGGTAAAGCAGATTGCCCTCCCTAATGTGGCTGAGTCCTATTTAATCATGAAGGTTTGAATTGAACAAAAAGACTGATGGGCTGGAGGAAATCTCCACTTACATGACTACCTTGAGCTGAGAATTTGTGTTTTCTTTCCTGCCTTCAGACTTGAACTGAAATATTGGCTCTTCCTGGGTCTTAAACCCATCAGCTGGTTCTCAGCTCTTTCAGCCAGGCTGGAGCTACACTACCAGCATTTCTGGACCTCCAGCTTGCTTACGACTGCAGCTCTTGGGACTTGTCAGCCTCCAGAAGCAGGTATATCAATTCCTTACCAAAAAGTCACTTTCGGGGCCTTCCTGGTAGCGCAGGGGTTAAAGACAGTGCTATCAAGCTATCCGCAGCCACTGCAGCACAAGTTCGATCCCTGGCCAGGGAGGTGACCCACATGGCACAGCAGACCTCTCCTAACTCACCTGCTGCTCCCCTCAGCAGTGTATTTCAGTAGATTTGCCTGTTCTGCTCCCCACTCTGTCTCTGATGAATCCTCTCACTGCCCCCCCCACCCTGCCCCATACCTCTGGCCTGCACTCCAGCTCTTGTATGCATATATAAATATTTTTTTTTAAAGTCACTTTCTGTATGTATATACTGCCTATTAATTCTTTTGCTTTAGAGAACCCTGGCTCTCTAAAGAGAAACAAGGGCTATACCTGCCACAACACACATATGCATGCATGCATGCACACGCAACACACTCCTGCTGCAAAGGCAGTGCTGTCCCCATGTCATCGCCACAGAAGGAAAAAGGAAGTGGTGGCTTCAGGAAGTCTGCGCTCGCCCCTCGCCAGGTTGTATGGTTGCTGCCCCTGAACCTGTGACTACGGGGCCCCTTTGGAGGGGGGGTGCCTACTCACATCAGGGTCCAGCTCATCCAGTTCATTTTCCAGCGTCCTGAGCTCTTCTTCTGTGAGGGCTCCAAGGATTTCATCTTCATCCAGGTCACGGTATTTCTCTAGTTCTCGTCGGTATGACATTGTTGAAGAATTTGTCTTTGCTTTCTGAGCTTCTGTGCTGATTTATGACCTACCAGAAAGAGAAAAATGTCATAAAGCCCCTTCTTGGATTTGGTCTTTCAGAGCAAACAGATATTGTCATTCACATAGTAGCCTAGGCGTGTTTATGAAACATTAGGACGATAATTACTGGAATGGACTATTGCACTAAGTTGGAAGAATTCGCTTACAAATTGTGCAAGGTAAAAGTCCTGGGGACATGTGATTTAATAAACTGTCACTGGAATGGTCATCAACTATGAGCAAATAGGTGGCTATAAATGGCCAATGAATGGCCCCAAGCTATTTTATTTTGCAAATAGTTCAGATACTTTTCTGTACTATCTTCACAGGTCCCCCCACACCCTGATGGAGAGCACAAGTGCTGGAAACTCTGCTAAAGTTGATCTTAAAAAGTGAGGGTGGCATTAGTGGATAACTGAGCACTTGCTGCATGCAGGCAGTTCGCCTACATCTCAATTCCATCCCACAAAAATAGCCGAGAGTAAAAGCTAACTTTTACTACCACACGCCAAGCAGTGTGTTAAGCATGTCACAGGGACTTTCTAACTTAACCTCTGAATTATATGTGTGTTGTTAATCCCATTTTACAGATGAGGACATTGAGCTCAGAGAATGTGATGACGCCATCACCACTTAAGCCCAAGTGCCTTAAGCTCTCTGTCCTTCAGCTTGGCTGAAACCGTCTGATCACATGACAAGCCCAACTCACACATCTCTTCTGTGAAGTCTTCGTGTGCCCTCAGCAAGCAAAAACTCCTCATGCCCACAGTCCTGGGTCCACACTCCCCACAAAGCTCACATGTCCGTCTCCTACAGCTTTCCCAGAGAAGGGTCTGGTCTGCTTCTCTCCTCTCTCCCCAGAGAAAAACACAGGGCTGCACACAGTAGGATGTTTTTACTGAAATGACCTCAATTCATTCTCCACCAGCGTTTGTTGGTCTAGTCACACAGCCTTAAAGAGATTCTGAGCTCTTCTCCTAGAAAGTGTTGCAGAAGAACTTCTTAGGTACCGTTGAAGGAAGGGAGCGCTTGGTATGGGATTGGTATATCATGGGTTGAATTGTGTGCCCCGAATGTGTCCACCAAATTCCTAACCCCAGTATCTCAGTTACTGCATTCCAAGTAACAATGTGAGACATTTGGAAATAGAATCATAGCTGATAAAATTAGCTCAGTTTACAGGAGTAAGGTGGGCCCCTAATCCAACATGACTGTATCCTCATGAAAAGGGGAAATTTGGACAGACACATGCACCATGTGAGAATGAAGGCAGAGACAAGGAAGTCCCAAAATTCCCACACAGCCACCACAAGCTAGAGGAGGGGCCCCAGAGATCCTTACAGTCCTTAGATGGAACCAACTCTTCTGATACCTTGATCTTGGACTTGTGGGCTACAGAGCTCGGAGACAACACATTTCTGTTGTTTAAGCCACTCGGTGTGTGCCCTAGCAAATGAATACAGTCCATACAAACCTGTGGAGAATTTTGTGTTTTTTTTTTTTTTTAAATTCCTTGAGACAAGGAATTCTTTTTTTTTTTTAAATTTATTTATTTATACAAGCACTGGGTACAGTCAGAAGCACAGGAGGGTGAGAGAATTCACCAGAGCCAGAGCGGGGAACAGAACAGGCAGACCGACAGAGTACACTGCTGAGGGGAGTAGCGGGGGGCAGGAGAGGTCTGCGCGCCATGTGGGACCCTTGTCCGGCAGCAGGGGATCTAACCAGCGCTGCAGAGGCTGCGGGCAGCTTCACAGCCCAGCGCTCAACTGCTGCACTACCGGGGAGGTCCAGCATTTTGTGTTTTTAAACCCTCATACAAACCAAAGGCCTGGCTCATCTGTGAAATGACCTGATGGAAGTTTCCAGAGTAGAGAGAAACAAAAACTTGGGAAAGGCAACCAACTAATCAGTCAAAAAACAACAAACTGGGATTCATTGTTAATTAAAAACAAAGTAAAAATAAACTAAAACCACAGTTCACTATGTCTCAGAAAGCAGAGAGCACACGTTATTAGGGTATATGCATATGTGTGGGCATATTAGTAGGAGGAATCCAGTATGTGACAGCTGGCTTGATAAGGAAGGACTTACTTCCCAAATACAGAAAGCCCTGGTGGCATCCTTTTCTCTAAGAATGGCTCAGCATGGCCTGACGTCTTCCTTTGACCAGACCCCAAGAATGCAATATCCAGACCATAAATGGGCCCCCTCTTGATTCATTTCTATTTAGTTCCAAAGAAAGCACAAGCAGCTGACAATGCTCTGGTATAGATGAAAAAAAATAAAAAATAACCTTACTGAGTGCCCTCAGAGAACAAACCTAATTTGGCTTTCCCTGATTGGAGCCAGCAGGGATGCTCAGGAAAGACTTGCAAGCTTCCAGAACCAACTCAGGGACATCCGGGGCCACCTCCAGACTAGAGTCTGTTAGGTGGTGTTCAAACAGGTTCTGTGTTACACAGGTTACAAGCAGGATTTCCTGATGCTTTTGACCATAAAGTCTTGTCTTTGAGAAACTGCTCTGAAATTGGAATCTCATGAAACAGTGGGTGACGTTGCTACAGACTCACCTCTGGGCGCCCTGAGGGAGTCACTGACAACCACACAAGGACAGGGCCAGCTGGGTCAGGTTTGGGACCCGGACACTTAGCAATCTTGCCGTCTTTGCTAGCTGACTCATTTCCCAGAAAAATGCGTCCAAAAGAAATTATACCTGGAGCCTCCCTGGTGGCACAAGGGGTTTAGACACAACCTATGAAGCTATCCACAGCCACTGGAGCATGAGTTCGATCCCCAGCCAGGGAGCTGACCCACACAGTGCAGCAGACCTCTCCTGACTCGCCTGTTGCTCCCCTCAGCAGTGTATTTCAGTACATCTGCCTGTTCTGCTCCCTACTCTGTCTCTGGTGAATCCTTTTACCCCCTCCCCCGCACCTCTGGCCTGTACCCCAATTCTTGTATGCATAAATGAATAAATCTAAAAAAAATTATTATACCTAGAAAAAGTTGTGGAAGGATCATAGGGAGGATGAGCCAGGACAAGGGGAGAGGGAAGAGAGAAAGCCATACCAAAGCCAGCTGGGGAAAAGGAGTTGGAGGAAGAGCAGGAAGAACAAAGTAGGCAGCAGAAGGAGGGGTGTGGGGCTGGGGTGGCAGCCCACCTCTGGAAATGCCACCCCAAGTGGGGCGATCATTAAATTTCCTCAAGACAGCTCCCTCAGGGCACACAGGAAAGTCAAGCCACTATTTACACACTCCAAGGTGTCAGTGAATTAAGAACTCCTGTTTCAGAGTACTTACAAGGCCCTTTCTAGTGTCAAGTGCCCTGTGAATATTACAACGTTACGTTACGTTAAATGAGCTGAGAGGCACTGAGAACGCCTAAGGTAAACTATGAAGCTGTCAGCTTCAAGCCACACTCATCCACTTGGCTCCTAGGGGATGCATTCTCTAAAGCAAGATTCTCCTCCTGTGGCCCGTGATATGGAGGAACTGGAGGTGAGGAACAAACAGGGTGGGAGGTGAAAGTCATGGGTTAACAGTGCCGCTGCCAGCTCGACCTTAAGATATGGCTTGGAAGGGATGGTATTCTTCTACTGCCAATAAAAGGCCTCTGTTTCATAATGAAAGATTCAGGAGACTTGGTGGGAGAACTAGTTGTGATTGTTATGTCCTGGGCAGCCTCTGGTTGCTACTCTGTGCAATGAGCATAAACAGACTGGGAGCCGCTGCTTGTAACCTATCCCTATCTCTTGGAGACATGCAGGAATTGGATGGCATGGGTGGCTTTTAGCCTGTGACAGGGGAGATTTCAGGCTCTGAAAAGGGGCCTCAGAGGTAAACTAGGCAAAGCGAGGGGCTCACCCTGATTTTACCTGACTTGTATACTTGGAGTTTTGTGTAAGATTTCCCTGGAAGAAAGGATTCCTTGGTAATATAAACCATCTCTATAATGGGAGGGTGGCAGTACTCGCCCATTAGGGTGCTGTGAGGACGCAGTGGCAACAAGCAAAGCCTTGAGCTGGTGCAAGGTCAACATGGGCTCAACAATGTTGATGCGTATCACCAGGCAGATATTGCTGCTGTGGGGGCTCCATCTCACCCCTACACTCTCATCGGACTGCAGTTCCCCCCAGGCGGGGACCTATGTCTTACTTGTCTTCATATCACCAGTGCCTTTCTCTGGTCATCCGAGTCAAGGGAATGAGCACAACTGGCTTTGATCGCATGACCTTGGAATCTTGGGTAAGTCCCTTCTCTTCTCAGATCCTCTGTTTTCATCTTTAAAAGAGAAAAATCAGACCAGGTCTATGAGGGCTGGAGGGATGGGTAGGAAGGGGATGATGAAGCTGCTGGGGTCCCAGCAGAACAGTACTTCTGTTACCTGCTCTACAGATCGGGTCCTGTGTGAGAGTTGGTGAGAAAAATAAAGGAGCAGCTCCATAAATTTAAAGCACATTTAAAAACTTAGAAGTCTTCCAAATCTGGCATGTAATTACATTATCAGCACATCTGGTCCTGAGTGGCAGAAGCCACCAGGAATGTGAAAACATAGAGTGTACTAGCTGTGCTGGACAGTAAAACTAGATGGGTTAGACAGGAAAAAGTAGTGGGTCAAAGCCTGAGGCTGTCCATCAGTAGGCTTTAGAACCGAAAGCTCTGGGATGGGGAAGCTCCAGGAATACCCCTTCTAGATTTTTCATGGAAAGTGGGTCCAGTGACTTCTCTGCTCATGTCTTTTCCAGCCTCAGTCCCACGGGAACACTCAGCAAGGGGTTGCTGAGTGGCATCTAGATTTATGGATGGCACTTCCCCGAATTCGGGAAGAATCGCGTCAAGAGTCACTGAATAGTTTCCAGTTATACCATCTTCTTATTTCAGCAACAGGGAATATCTTGATGATGAATAAAGGAAGATTGATTTACAAAGTGGATTCGTCATACCCCATCTCCTCCATTTGGAAGACATTTTATGCCATGACACCTCACCACGAAAGCTTGCTCC